ATATGTAAATTAAAGATATAGAGAGAGTATCATAACTTTTACAATCAAAATCATAACTAATTTTTACATTTGGCATAGCTCGTACTCCACCGCTTCAAGCTTGACGCGAGCAATGATTTTCAATGTATTTGCATCTTTCCAAGTTGAGACCTTTGAAATCCGTGCTGATGTGTTTGATCGACCATTTGATGACAAATCCCAGACCCATAGGAATCCAAATCTCGTTCCAAATTATTATAAGAACCCTAAAAATAAAATTCTCATCCATGGATGAGAATCATAATCCTAGAAAATTGGGAAAAACCTTGAAAATTGGGACAGACTCTCACAGATGGAGAGAACAAAACAAAACAAACAAATCAAAATGTAAAAAAAAAAACAAAAAAAACTAAATTAAACTAAAGAAAAAGGGGTCGAAAATAGTTTAATTTTCAAAGAAATTAGACTAGTTCTGGCCTAAACGGCCAAGAAAACTTAAACCCTAGAAGAGAGAGGAAAGAGAAGAGAGAAAAAGAAAAAAGGGGCGCTTTATAAGATATTATTAATAGAAATTAAACTTAAATATAAGAATATTTCATATATTAACTTTGTAAAATTAGATTAGATAATACAAATTAATTTCAGACATAGTCAAATTAAATGATATGAATTGAGGGGAGCTAAACTGAGCTCGAAGTACATAATTTGTAAAAGATCTTGCTAACGAACGCACGCCTCCGGGGCGTTGGATAAGCATTTAAAATATTACCTAAAGTAGAATTAATTTGGGAAAGCATGACAAAATTACGCTTCAATCGGTGTAATTACTTGTTAATTTTTGATTTAATCTTTCTACTTTTAACTAGATTATCCAATGCTCCCAGAGAGTTCCTTAGCTTTTTCCTTTAAAATATATTGCACGGACCTTCAATAACCAAAATTTAAGGCATTGACAGTTTGACATCCATCCAATAACTCGCTTCACCAAACATGATCGGAGCTGATATCATTGACTTGACTTTGTACATACGGAAATACCCACATGTTAAGATCATCATTTTGATCTATACATTTTTTTTACCAATCACATATTTTAGAAATTTTTTTAAATTACCACCAAAAAATGTATCCATTTTTAAAATAAACACCCGTTTAATTTTTATTTTATTTTATTTTACAACCCTTAAATTAAAAAAAAATGTTACTCAGATTACCACTTATTTCAAAATTCCAGTGGAATCTGGTATGTGGACCTACCCAATGGCTAGTAATGGCTATGTTTAAACATTACAATTAACCATGTCTTCACTCCACCTCCTCTTTAAACCAGTTTATTAAGTACAAGACAACCTAAAACCAAAAGAAAACAACTAAAAAAACCAAGAGCTTGCTATCTGAATTGTCACTACTATTAACCATCTTCTTCATGTTACCACTAAGAGTCATTAGGTGGGGCCCACATAAGAGAAATCCACCGGAATTTGAAAATGAGTGGTAATCTATTTTTTTTTTTTTTTTTTTTAATTTAAGGAGTGGTAAAATAAAAGTAAAAATGTAACGGGTGGTTATTTTGAAAATGGATATATTTTTAAATGGTAATTTAAAATTTAACCCATATTTTATTTTTCATATTAAATGAAGATTATATACCTAATTTGATATCTACTGTAGTAATTCGTTGCAATTGCGAGAAAGGGACACAAACCCTCCTTGTTCATTTTTAAAGGTGCTTTTTATCTGTTTTCACTAATAAAAAGCTTCAGTACTGTTTATTAATGATAAAGTATGAAATATATATTTCGGGACATTAACATCACCTTAAGCTTTTGATTGAGTGGGTCCTTTAACATGATATCAGAGTCAACATGACACAAAGGTTATGGGTTCGAATCATATCTATCCTCATTTCAAAGTGGAATATTTCGCACATGGTATGGAAAGGGCGTATGTTGCATCCACACTTCAAACTCAACAGGCTCTCATGTGAGGGGGCATGCTAGTGTATAAAATATATTGGGATATTCTCAATGGTAACACTCAACTTTTTATTTTTCTCTTTGGTAAAGGGGTTAAGTTTTCATTCTCTCTAATAACATTATATTTTTGCATTATGTTAAATATAACATTAATGATTCATTTTTTAACTATAGTTAAGGTTTTAGGTTAGTTTTTTTATTTTTTAATAATTAAAATATTAATTAAATAATTTAATAAAATTAAAAAACCAACCCTTCCCTCAGCCACCAGCCCACCCCCTCCATTGTTGGCACCAACCTCCCTCACCCCCTCCCCTGTCGTCGCTGGCTAGCCCCACACCTTTCCTTGTCGGCGTCAGTCAACCCCACACCCTCCCTTGTCGGCGCCGGCCATTCCACTCAGCCTTCCCTACCCCCAACCCCACAGAACCAACCCGACCTCCACCTCTCCCCATTGCCCCCACCTACCTTGACTTCCACCCTAGAAAACCATATCCCCCTCATCGGAATTGCCCCCTCCCTCATTTTTCGTCCCCTAACCCTAATTCCCCAACTAAAAACCCGTTGAACCCAAAATATTCGAAACCCAAAAAACCAGATTTCTGTGTTTTTAACGACTTTTTGGGTGGGGAACTAAAATTGGGGGCGGAAAAGGGGGGAGGGGTTGATTTCGAAGGGTAGTCGCGTTTTGGAGGTGAGGATAGGGGTCGGAAAGGGGCTGAAACCAGCAAGGGGTAAAGAGAGAGGGGGCAGTGTCGGGGTTTTGCGCGAGTGGTGGTGGGTAAAGAAATTGGGAATGAGAAATGGGAGGAGTGGGGGTGTCTGTGGGTTTGGGAGGAGGGATGGGGAACCTTTCCGGCACCGGTGGCGGGCTCGCCGGCCACTCAAGGGGAGGGGGTGGGTTGGCAGTGGGTGGGGGGAGAAGGAGGGGGTGATTGTTTGTTTTTATTTATTGTTTTAATTATTAAAAAATATAAATTTAAATATGGGTAAGCTTTTTTTTTATTAAAATGGTTGTTAAATATGATAATCAATTGTTAGATGTTATTACAGAGAATGAAAACTTAACCCCTTTACCAAAGAGAAAAATAAAAACTTGAGTGTTACTAGTGAGAATTTCCCAAATATATTCATTGACCTTAACCATCAGCTGAACCAAAATATAGGTAGTCTAGTGGTCAAAGTGTCAAATTTTGGTTTTGTACTTTTGTGGTTATGAGTTCAATCCTATACCTAATAGTATTAGAGATTAAAAAAATAAAAAATAAACATAAGTGTATATATATCATTGATAACATCATATCTTGTTATCTTTAGTATTTTAAGATATTATGCTATTAAGGATCTTGAAGTGATATTATTTTGGAAAATTTCATATTAATAATTCCAACTTTGGCTCATTTTCTTTTAATAATCCCAATTTTGAATTATTTAGAAATAATCCAAACTTTGGCGGGTGTTTACTTTATTCAATCCCCAAATAGTCAACAAAAGTCAATGATCTACTATCACAAATTATGTGACACTTATCACATCGTGTGTTTGGTCCAAAGAAGAAAAACTAAAAAAAAATGAAATCCCCCACCTAGCCCCGTCCCCTTCCCCACCGGAATCCTAAACCTCAGCACCCAATCCTCCTAACCCCCACCGGAAATGTAACACCCCCAAATCTCCCTCTACGGAAATACTAGTATTATCAGTATAATTATACCGTAGAGATAGACTTAGGCGTATTACCGCTGCGTGATTATGCAAGGCTACTCAACTTACTAAAACTAACAATACTTTGCAGCGGAAACTCAAATACTATTCTTTATTAGTAATAACCATAATAGTAACCAATGTTATGAGTACTCAAAATAGATACAAGATCAAATTCCTAATTTAGTGAAAACCAATCCGGGGACTCCAACCTGAAAATAAGCAACACTGCTTACCATAACGGTAAACAGGGCAAACCAAAGCAAATAAGAAGTACGGGTTAGCAAAATATGCTAAGTACGGTAAGTGCAAGATAATTAAACTCAATTTATTCGCAAACATAATTTAAAACCAGTTTCCAATAAATAATCCAATAATTCCAAACTCATGGTGTAAAACCAATTTTCAATAATTCCAATATCAATAATTAATAAAACCAATTCCAATTATTTAAAAAAATCAATTCCTCATATTAAAACCAATTCCTCTCCCAAGTGTGCACACCCCCAAGCTAGTCTCCTTATGTTACAAGGCTATTCTTGAGGAAAGACCCGGTCATGCAAAGTCCAAGGCCTTATCAATAAACCGAATCTGCATAGTGGGATTACCAACATGCTTATAAAGCATATAATAAATCAATGATTCAATAAATCCTCTTTTAAGTCCAATAATTCAACCTTTAATGAAAACAATCCAAACTCCTTTTCAATAAATCCAACTTGCTTTCAAAATCAATCTTTTTTATACATGATTAATAAATTAATTAATCAAAACATGTTATAAAAATCAATACTCCAATTTAATTATTAAAACCAATCCTTTAAACATACTTTTAATTCATAAACCATAATTCAATTCAATTTAATTCAAGCAACATAAATCGTTCAAACATGTTATTCAAATCGATCACTTTCAAGGTATCTAGCCACCTAACGTACCTTGATCTTCGCTTAGCCAACAACAATTCAAAAGAAATATTAAGTAGCTTGATCAAAAACACCCTACAAATAAATATAATCTTAATCAATATAAGGTTAACAAATAATCACAAATAATTAAATTAAACCCTCCCAACTATATGTACATGAACCTCTTAAATTAATTCAACATGAACATTATTAAAATCTGATTTTATATAATTAAAATACTAATAATAATTTTATATTAAACTCTCATAATAATAATAATAATTGAATAAGAGAAAAGGAGAAGAAAAGAATTGGATTTGCGCAGGAAGTAATAGGCAGAACTTTCAGAGCCTAACCTCCTTCGATATAGCTATAACTCTATCCCCCTCTACCCCCCCTTAAAAGGAGTTACGCCCCTGTAAGTCGACCACTAACCTTAGGCAAAAAGTTCTGGGTAACATTTCCTCATATCAGCCTCAGCTTCCCATGCAGCGTCTTCAGTTTTCTGATTTGACCACAATACTTTCACAATGCTCACATCCTTGTTCCTTGTGCTCCTGACCTTAGAGTCAAGAATCTTTACTAGTCTTTCCTCATAAGTCAATTTCTCATCCATCTCAATGGTTTCTGGTTGTAACACAGGTGTCATATCAGGAATATACTTTCGGATTTGGCTCACATGGAACACATTGTGAACCCTTTCAAGCTCGTTAGGCTAATCCAACTTATAAGCCACTTTTCCCACTTTCTGAATGATCTCATAAGGCCCTATGTACTTTGGGCTTAATTTCCCTTTCTTCCCGAATCTCATCACACCTTTCATGGGTGAAATATTCAACAAACTTTCTCTCCTACTTCATATTCCTCTTCCCTCCTTTTCAAATCAGCATAACTTTTTTGTCGATCTTGGGCTGCTTTAATCTTTTCTTCGATCAACTTGACCTTCTTCACCATATCCTTAATCATTTCTAGTCCAAGTACCATAGTTTCACTTATTTCATTCCAACATATTGGACTTCTACACTTTCGACCATACAAAGCTTCAAACGGTGCCATCCCAATGCTTGCATGGTAACTGTTGTTATAAGAGAACTCTATCAAATCCAAGTGGTCTTCCCAAGACCCTTAATACTCCATCACACAAACTCTTAACATGTTCTCTAACGTCTAAATCGTTCTTCTGTCTTACCATCTACCGCAGGATGAAATGTTGTGCTCATTAACAACTTAGTTCCCATCGCCTTTTGCAAACTTTGCCAAAAGTTAGACAAAAACCTTTAATCTCTATCCGAAATGATATCCGTGGGTACCCCATGGTACTTCACCACAATCTTCACATAAGCTCTTCCCAACTGATCCATGGTCCAAGTACTTCTCATGGGTATGAACGCTACTGACTTCGTCAACCTGTCCACTATCACCCAAATAGTGTCATTTCCTGCCTTGGTCTTTGGCAAAGCTCCCACAAAATTCATAGAAAATCGAATCCCATTTCCACTTGGGGACCTCCAAGGATTGGACCTTTCCATGAGGCCTGCGATGCTCAATCTTCACCTTCTGGCATGTCAAACACTTATCCACAAATTCAGCTACTTCTCTCTTCATATTGGGCCACCAAAATTTCTTCTTCATGTCCTTATACAACTTATCCCCTCCAGGATGTATTAAATAGAGAGAATTATGGGCTTCTACCATCAATCTTTGCTTCAAATCACCACGATTCTGCGGTACACACCATCTTCCCTTAAAATGAATACTTCCCTCATCACCAATGGTGAAATCCAACACTTGCCCTTCATTAATCTTCTTCTTGATTTCTTTCAACTTCTCATCTTCCAATTGGCTATCCCTTATGTCATCATAAATGGAAGGTCGAATCACCAAGGCATTCAACATCCTTGCCACTCCACCATGTTCCATCACCTCCAAGTTCAACTTCTGAAATTCCATACACAACTGATTTGGGACTACCATCACATTCACCGTATTTTCTGACTTTCTGCTCAAAGCATTTCCACCACATTAGCCTTTCCTTCATGATATTGAATATCCAATGTATAATCACTCATAAACTCCAACCATCGTCTCTGCCTCTTATTCAAGTGCGTCTAGGTGAAAATGTACTTCAAACTCTTATGATTAGTGAAAATCCTATCAGTCACCCCATACAAGTAATGTCTCCAAATCTTCAAGGCAAACACTATTGCAGCTAACTCCAAATCATAGGTTGGGTAATTTCCTTCGTGAACCTTCAACTGCCTTGAGGCATACTGTAGAAACCCAAATGTGTCTCCCCAAAACCAAACCCGATGAGGAGTACCTTTCGCGTCGAATCATAATCGAATGAAGCGACAGTGTGGAAAGTCTAGTGTTGCGGATAGTTTATTTTCTTTTCTCTTCTCTCTATTTTTGAAAACTCATTTTAAGAAAACAGCCAATACAATTTGGTTGGTCCATGATATGGGTCCAATAGTAGTGTAGTTGGATGGGGCTTGGCAAGAGCTTTCCAACGATATATTAAAAGCCTAATTCCGATGAATATTGAGGAAGTTATGGCCAATTTACTAAACTGGGCCCGGTTTGAGCTTTATATGCGGCCTAATGATCTAGGGGAAGGCCTAATATTATTTATCATTCCTAATGCAATTAGGAATGGTTTTAGTCTTCTAGATTCTTCTAGAAGGTTCTTTTCATTCCTAATTCAATTAGCATTGATAAATTGACTTTGTTGACTTTTCAGAGTTTTAATTAAAATCAAAGAACATTTTTGAGGAAAAGATACGATTTTATCCTCCTGTACGGCAAAATTTATCTGATTTTAGAAAACGCGTCAAAAACAGGGTTGGCCCCTAACGCTAGGCATTGGCGCATGGCGCTAAGCCTGGCGCCAGCTATTAGCGCCTGGCGCTAATGTTGGCGCCTGGCGCCAATCAGCTGGCGTTGGCGCCAGCTCTGTTTCACGTGCGCCAGATGCTCTGTTTTGATATTTTATCTTTTTGGCTGATTTCTCTATAAATAACGTATTAAAACTCCGTTTTCATTCATCAACAATTAGTTTTAATTTATATTCACCTACAACCAGTTTTCATTCGCAATCATTAATTCTCTCATTCTCTTTAATCATTCGCCATCCATCTCTCTTTTTTTCTTCTTTTTCTAAATTAGTCTTTTACATATAAAATTCCGCATTCACAAGATATAGAAACACCTATCCATATTCGAAGTTGACTTCGCCCTAGACATGAAAGGTATAATTTCTGAGGGTTTGGTCCCAAATATCTCTTTCACTTATTTAATTTAATTGTTTGTTTATTATTTTCCTTGAAGTTACTAACGTGTGTATTTTGTTATTAGAAAGAGGTACGAGGCATCAAAGTAAGTGCTTTAATGACTTTTATTGATGTTATGATGTAGAAATCATGTTTATATTGTTATTATGATATTCCTAGTATCATGTCTAGGGTAATTTTAATATTAAATATGATTGTTACGATACTTCCTATGTTCTTCCTAATATTTATGATTGTTAGTATCATGTTAGGGCTAAAGATTTGATTTTTAATGCTTAGTGACATGCTAGGATTTATTATTAATCTTGTTAGTATCATGCCTAGGATCTTGCTATTTTTATTATGCTTTAACATGAATATTATTATAATTATTATAATTGTCATTATGATGATTATTGTTTTGATGATTATGAATATTATTATTATGTTTAATATAATTGTTATTATGATGATTATAATTATTATTTATGATTGTTATTATTATTGCTTGATATATATTATTTATATTTATTACTTGATCACGCCTTTTTTGCATGATTAAAGGGAATTAATACTTGTAATCACGTTTAATAAGATAATTTAATAATCTTGTTAGGGTTAATTTGATTATAATTTCAAGTGATCGCCAATAAAAGTTTTATTTGTGCATTAATATTCAACCAACATAGATAAACAGGTTTAGGGTTAAACCTATTGATTGTATGTTAGTCAAGAAGCGCACATGAATACGATCTGAATACAGTAGAGGCCTATTATTAGGGCAAGTTCAATCTCTTTTAGGTTGGATTTGTACCTTCATCCCTGAACCCTTATTTGGTTCTAGACCTTATGGAGTTGACGATCTCTTGGATCGTTGAGGGGTGTAACCTTCACCCTGTGAACAGTTTACAAGTTCCTAAAAAACTTGTTGGCGACTCTTTTGCTCTATCTTCTTCCCTTTTGGACGCCACCGTACTTTAGTGTATGATCACAGTGGGGTTCAAGCAAGGGGTTAACGCTTGAAATATATTCCCTACACATACGCAATCGCTCTTCGATTTTGCATCAACACACATCCCAATCCCAACCTCGATGCATCACTATACACGTCATATAGGTCACTCCCATCCGGCAAAGCCAGCACAGGTGCTGTGGTCAACCTTTCATTCAAGATCTTAAATGCCTCCTCACACTCTTGGGTCCATGAGAACTTATGCTCCTTTTTTCATCAAACTTGTCATGGATTTTGCGATCCTTGAAAAATCCTTCACAAACCTTCTATAATAGCCTGCTAAACCCAAGAAACTCCTTACATTCGACACATTCTTTAGGGTTGGCCAGTCGCTCACAGCTCGAATCTTGCTTGGGTCCACTGAAACTCCGTCCTTGGAAACAACATGGCCCATAAATGCTACTTTCTCCAACCAAAACTCACACTTAGAAAACTTGGCATACAACTGATGCTCTCTTAAACATGACAACACTTGTCTCAAATGCTCCTTATGCTCTTCTTAATCCTTTGAATATATCAAAATATCGTCAATAAACACCACTACAAACTTGTCCAAGTATGGCCTGAAAATCCTATGCATCAAGTCCATGAACACTGCAGGAGCATTGGTCAAACCAAATGGCATAACTGTGAACTCATAATGACCTTTACGGGTCCTGAAAGCACCCTTTGCAATATCTTGCTCCGCAATTCTTAATTGGTGATAACCCGATCTCAAATCTATCTTTGAGAATACCCCTGCTCCTTTCAACTGGTTAAACAAATCATCTATCCTTGGTAATGGATACTTATTCTTCACTGTCACCTTGTTCAACTCTCGATAATCTATACACAACCTCATACTTCCATCTTTCTTCTTCACAAACGATACTGGAGCTCCCCAGGGTGATGAACTAGGACTAATATAACCTTTCTCCAACAAATTATCCAACTGGGTCTTCAACTCCCTTAACTTAGCTGGAGCCATCCTATATGGAGCCTTAGAAATGGTCCAGTTCCAGGCACTAGATCGACAGTGAACTCAACATCCCTCACGGGTGGCATACAAGGAATCTCATCTGGAAACACATCTGGAAAATCTTCTACAACAGGAATACCCTCTTTACCTTTCTTTTCCTCACTTTCAACCTCTTGAACACTACACAAAAACAAAGGACAACCCTTCTTAACCAGCTTCTGTAGTCGCATTGCAGACACAATTCTCAACCCTGAGCTTTTCCCTTCTTTTTACACACCACTTTTGTCTTACTTGGGCTAGTCAAGATGACCTTTTCAGCCGCACAATCAATTTTTGCTTCATACTTTCCCAACCAATCCATACCCAGAATCACACCAAAGTCATTCAAGTCAAACTCTATCTAATCAGCAAGAAACTCAACCCTAGAGATGGAAATAGGCACACTAAAAAAGAATCTCAAACAACTCCTCACTTCCCCAGACGAAATAGACACATCTAGAGAAACTGACTCAAGACTCTCTAACCCGAGACTCCCAACTACTTCCTTAGAAATAAAAGAATGTGACGCCGCTGAATAAAACAAGACTTTCACAGGAGAAGAACTTATAAAGAAAACACCAATTACCACATCATTAGCAGACTCAGCCTGCCGACTATTTATCACGCACACACGACCTTTTGGGGCACCTCCCGCACCGCTACTAGTTCCAGCCTTGGTTGTAGGTCCACTAGACTGAGGTGGTTT